CTTGGAATTATTTGCCAGCAATTTGATCTATATCCAGTTTCTGAAATTACCAGCAGTGCAAAGGCTGGTATAAAAAAAACCCAAACCCATAGTAACTGCACTTAACCTGTGTAAGAAATTCGTTGTGAAAGAAAAGGCTGTTCAATGTAAGACTGTCAACAGCCCTCCTTCCAAGATGAAAGAATATGTGTATATGCATAAATATTAAGGGTACTCACCGAGCATCCAGAGATATCGCATAGAATATGATGGCAATTAATGATATGGCAACTACAGAAGTAAACAAGCAGCTTAAATCCCACAGTAAGTAGCCTTTCAGGCAGTGAAGGAACTAATTTTTCATGCATTCAGGTTAAAAGAGAGACCTTTTTCTGCTGGAGTCACGACTACTTGAAAGAGTAGCAGTGGATAGTAATTTGTGCTCCAGACAAGTTGAGGCACCCTCTCAAACCTTTAAGCTCAGGGAAGGCAGCAGACCTTTCCTGACTGCAGGTGAGTGCCTCAGAGTCTCTTAGCAGAGAGTCACCCCATACAAGCACTCCAAGACATAAGGGCCAGGTGCCAAAGGCAAGAGAACTTTCAGAGGCAAAACAGAAGCGTATGACAAATTTTAGATTCAGTAGCAGTTCAATTCGGATCATTTGATCTTAAGTACTGGATTGCACTTATGACCGTTTTAAACACTGTCCTGCAGAGGTGTGGGGTTTTTATCTCACACTTAACCTCTGTGGTTTTGTTACTGCTTTTTCAGATTCTCTTGAGGTGTTATAGTTACTGAAATTATTAATAGCTAAAAAATCAAATAGAATTTCAAACATTTTTTTCATATCCAGTCTTTTAGTAGAGATCAGGGTGTCAGGCCATTTGGATTATATGTGGTACATTCTGAGGCTTTTTGGTCCTAGTTTCAAACAACTGGATTCTGCATCTGGCAAGAAATAGAAATAGAAATAGAAATCTTAAAACTACATACACCTGTCACACTCTCTTTGAATTTCTAATGGCAATAGAACTGAGAATTCATTTTCTGTTCTGATAGGCAAATGATTAAATCTGCCTGTCTACCCGCCTTCAGCCTCTGTTTGAGCTGCCCAGTAAACCTGATGCTTTGGCAATGAAATATGATTTTGGAGGAGACATCTGATCTTGAGGGAGTTTTCCTTTGTACAGACATACACGTGGATCTTCATATAGCAAAAAGAATTGGTTCTGAGTACTGCATGTAGCAAAGAGCCTGATTAATTCTTTTGTGATAAAAGAGTTAAATTCTGTAAATAAAATGTTATTTTCTCTCAGCACAAAAGTATCACTCTGCCTTTCTTTATCAGGTCTGTGAACAATTATTTCCCAGTGTACATCAGATGTCCACTCTGACCCAGCATCATGTCTCACATGAAATATTATTTACTCAAGATAGTGAACCTTTTCTACTGCTTTCTAAGAGACTTTCCTTGATTTTGCATAATGCCCAGAGTTTTGGCAACAATTCTTGTAAACAAATTCTTTTTTTTTTTATGAGGAACATAGGTAGTTGATGCCAAATTTCAAACAGAATACTGAAAAATAAACTGTTCATGAGAATATGAATGAGTTTCACCTAGGGAGCGTTTTGTAAGACAATTTAAATACTGAGCTTAAATGCAGAACTGGACTTTGAATTGTGCCAGAGGAGGGAATTCCCCTTCCTATGAAGAAACTGCAAGGGCAAAGAAGGATCTTGTTTGAAAAACTAAGTGTCTTTCAAGAATAAGAGTAGTTTCCCCTTGAAAATGTAAATTAATTTAAGATAGTTGCTATGAGTTTAGAAATGATCAGCAACAAGACGTGCGTGTGTCAGTGTGTAGGTATAGGAAGCAGGCAGAAATGGGGAAATGAGGTTTAATTCACACTTAGAAATGTAGGTCTGGAGGGGGCCAATTATACTAATGAGTCTGACTCCCCCCCCCCCATATTTTTTACTACATCTTACTAAGCCCAAACACACAAAAGATCTTAAACTCTATAACAAAATTAAGGCTTCTAGTATAAAAGATTCAGAATTTTGACTGTGCCAAGGAAAGAGTGCAGGAAAGCTCAAGTAGGCTTCCAGTGTCATGCCTCTCATCATCACTTTTTACTTGGTATATATCTGCCAGAAATATGAGGAACTACAGTTTAAATATGGAGGGGCTTTTAAAAAAGATCTGTGTTAAGGTATAGACCAATAATTTCTATACAGTTCCTGTAGGTTAACATCCTGAAGATCAACATCTATAAAAAGTGATAATTTATTTAGAAGTTTATAGGATTAATCTCAGTCACGGCACTGATAATTTTCTACAGAAAATTTCTACAGAAAGTCTTTTGGCCTACTGACTTATTTTGCATGAATTTTCAGATGTTTGAAATTTCTGTTCAGTTGTGTCTCCTTGTAGTTTGCAAACATATGAAGTATTATGTCTGGATTATTCAGTATCTGATGCATCATGCTTCCTCCAGTCCATCAGTGCTTTCATTTTCCAGTGCATTGGCTAGTTTCACATAATGTTTCCCAGTAAAGGGAAAACCCATTAAAATGGTTTTATTGTTTGTAGCAGACTCTCTTACCTAATTTCATCAGCCTCGTTAATCCTGCCTACTTTATTAACCCAATCAGCATGTGGCCATTTTTCTTCTCCTCTTTCCTGTTCCCTCCTCTAACTGAAAATATTAAGGGGTGTGTATTTGGCTGGTTCAGTTTTGCTCTGAAATTTTTGAACTCCAAAAATATTTATGTAAAGTTAATCTGTTATAACTCTCCTCTTGATTTCAGATCTTGTCATTTAGAATCAATTTGATGTTCAATACTCTTAAAAAGAGTAGGATTGCTTTCAAAAAGAAGAGTATTATGAAGCAAGGCAATGACTTCAAAGCTATTATGACAGCATCCATAACCCACAGGCAATTTCATTTTGCTTATATTGGAAGCATTTTAGTACACTGGAAGTTGTAATAAAACTCTTTCATTTGTGAATAATCATATCTAGAGCTGCATGAAGATCTAATAATTTCTGCAGAAATGAGTAAGTAGAATACACAGCTGTGTTTAACCAGCACCATGGGTTAAGCAAGTACATGAGAGATACTTTGAACCATCATAACAATTGGAGAAAAATACTGTCATCTTGGTCATATCTATTCTCAAAATAAAACAAACACACTTGACAAATTGTCTGGTTTTACTTAGGTGAACAAATGTTAAACTTCCAATTCTAAGCTGGATATCTTACACTGCCATAATAATCTACATGACAAACATGCAACCAGAGCAATTCGTGTATTCTGAGATACATCTCTAGTATAAACCTGATAAATCATCAACAGGACGTGTGTCTTTTAATCCCTTAACTAGAAACAGAGCACAACATTGATAAAGGCCTAGGCGTCTGATGTAGACATATCACTAATAAATGAAATAAACTTTACCCCTATTGAACAGATTTATGAAAACTGCTTTTTACATCTAGGTCTCTGATATACAGTACATCCTCCAAATCTAGGTCTTCTAAGGATCTTCTGAAGATCAGTGAGGAAATTCTTCTTTAGTATCTCAGCCTATGGATGCTTTAAATCACCAACTACCGGAGTATAAGCTTTTAAATTTAGAACCAATGAAGTCTTAAATTGTAAAGGCATTAGTGCTTTGATCAGCATTCCTATTCCTAGTCTGTTTGCCCTTTGTCTTGTTTTTGAGAAAAAGTACTGCTAGGATTTTCGTACAAATTTGCTGAGAAGTAAGCTTTTTCATCCCAATAATATTTTTATGCAATTAAAAGAATTTATTTTCCACACTTAGGGTAAACATTTGTCTTTTTGAATGTTTTTGGCACAATAATGATCATATTTGTATTTTTTAGTTTGTCCAGATCAATCAAGATGTACTCTTCCAATTGACTTTGAATGGTTTTACATATTAGATAATTTTTATCATCTGTTTCATTATCTTAAATTGTGAATCTAAATACAATTTCAAACTGGGAAACTGGAATTTCTGTTTTCGTAGAGGAAATTGGATCAAAAAGAGTCAAGGGCCTTTTCTATATTTCAATTTCAATAAACTGTTATTTTTTGGAGAATAAAGCACGTTATTCCCAAAATACCCAACCAGTTTCACTAAATATTTTGTTTTCCAGTACACAGGTGTCTATTTCTGAGCCAGAGATAATAAGGAAGCTCTGTCCTACTGCCCTGTCTTTAACATTCCAAATAAAGGCTGTTTGACAAGAACAGACACCATCTCTCTTTGTGACATAATGTATCTGTGAGGATGTACTGCCTGCTAATGAAGGGCAGAAACGAAAAGCAGGCAAGATAACAACAACAGTAAAAGTTTTCACTGGATGCAGAAATGGAATCACACAGCAGAAATGTACAGAGATCAAGGATCTTACAACCTTATAGACAGAAAATCTTACTTTCGTAACTTCAGGTTATTGCTTCTCTTATAATTAAACAGGCAGATATGTAAAAGAGATTTGGAGGAGACAGATAAAAAAGATAAATCTAAAAAAAAAAATCTAGCTAGGCGTAATTACTTAAACAAGGAGACAGATGTTTTTAAAGTGTCAATTTTCTGGAGATTTTGAGGCAAAAGCTAAGTAGTTTTTGGGGAGTAACTTGCACTCATAGCATTGGTAGCCATGGACTAAATTGTGGTTTCATGGATATCTGGAATACATTTTCATGTATTGTACCTCACTGTACAACCTTCAATTATCTAACAGCCCAACCCTTAAAGAGAAAATAATTTGATCCCTTATGTACTGGGAGAAGTTTGCAAGAACTTTAGCAAAACATAGTGATAAAGGCCTTATAAATGAATTTAGAGATATGTAGATGAGATGGACTGGATTTAACTTTAGCTGACGCAATAAGAGACTTCAAGGACTGAAATAATATTTGTTAAGCAGTATCTGTGATCCCGCATGTTGAGAGAAAAAGATCAAGACATGACAGGGAAAATATTCTGTGAAGACTCTTACCAAAATTGACTCTGAACAGTCGCAGTGAAGGTCATGCCCCAAGTCCTTGCAGTGATGAGTAGATGACATAAATCTTGGGAAACTCAATAGGGAGCTTGGTACATTCAGGCTCAGATCTCATTTCAGGGTGAGTATCATTCGGGGAAAAATCTTCTGAACACAAACATCTCTTGCTAGTATTTCTTAGGGGAACAAAGCCTGTTTTAGCTCAGTGATTTGGTGATTTCCTCCCTCTTATCTCCTTGCAAATTTTGTGAGAGCAAAAACTGTAAAAAGCCTGTAAAACTCCAAAACAAAACTCCTTTGCTACTTGTTTCCTGGCTTGTGCAAATTTTGTGGTTTGTTAATCATTAGCAAAGGTTAAGTATGCTTTTGTTACTTAGCAACCATGATTGGTTTTCAAAAGTTTTCTTTCAAAATTTATCTTGTATTTATCCATGTTTTTGTCTGCTCCTTTTTTCCTCCCTGTAATTCACACTCAAGAAAGTTTGAATGCAGCAAGACACCTGGACTCATGATCTTTGCTCCTACCTACTTGCAATAAACATGAAAAATGAGAACTAAAATGCAAACCAGAGCAAGAGAGCCATTTCTCTCCAATCTACACAAAGAGCTTAGCTGTTTTTCAACTTGCACTGTGAGGGCTTTTAAAATTTATTTTCTTTTTCAGTGTTTTGGTTATGGTGGAGCTTTGTGCTTTATCAGTTTCAACACAAAAATGGAAGCCTAAATTTAGTTCTGAAAAGTGTGAATAATTTGGGTACTAGTTAAAATATAAGCCCTGCTGTATTTAGATTATATTCATGTGCATTTTAACTTCAAATGAATATTTAAGACAGTGCAATATGAATATAAAGCTTGTAAACCCAAAGGCTTACCTGCTTTTTTCCAAGTATGTCAGTTACTACAATAAAAGATGTTATTTGTTTCTAAAACCTTTGCTTTGCTTCCCCATTTTGTCACATTAAGTTCACATCCTAGCTTAGCTAACATCAAGGAGAAATTTCCTATTGCGTTTTCTGGGGTCAAAATTTCACTCAGTAAGTGAAAAAACAAAGACAATTGTAAAAAAATAAAAATCATAGCCTGAAGATATGAAATGCTAAAGCATCCAGTTATCACAGCTGCTAAGCTCTTGTTTCTCCATGGGAGCTGCGGAGCAGAGCATGCATGTGAACTGAAATTGCTGAGGCTTCTGGCTGCTCAGGAGCTCCATTCTTGGGAGCTGCTAGAGCAGAAGTTACCTGGAGGTCTCTGGCGGCCAACATAAAGGTGGGTTCCACTTATCAGGGCAAACAAACCAGCCTGTTTCATCTCTCTGCAGATATGTGGAAAGCTTTGGAACTGTGAGTTTATGTTGACAGAATGAGGAACGTACAAATGATACAACTAGAAGGACAGGAGGAACTTTTACCATACTCTTTGTATTTCCCCCTCTTTGAGAAAAGGCTTCTGTACATAATCTCCTAGGAGCAAAACCAGAAACTACATGAGGCTGATATCATGGGAAGCAACGGCAAAAATCAACAAATGTTGGTGTGGGCCCTAATAATCCTGACTTCAACATTCCAGCCCTAGAAATTGCCTTGAACTCTCTGCTCTGACTTGGCTGAGAGCAAAGGTAGTGTGATTGCTCCTCAGAGGGAAAGGTTCTAGATGTAGCTCAGCGCACAAGCACAGAGAAGAAGCAGGATCAACCTCCAGAAGAGGGCTGGGCACGGCCCTTTTGGCAGTAGGCAGCAGCAGCAGGGATGGTGTGGGAACCTATTCACTTCGCAGAGATGCACCTGTGCCCCACCTGTGTGCTCTTGCAGACCAACTGCTGTCCTGCCTCTTTTCTTAAAGCCTGAGGAACATCACACAGGTGTCCAGACTTCTCATTCTTCCATGAATAGGACTTAACCTCCAGGAAAACAGAAATATCTTAGGAAGGTTCTTGTTTAATTCCAGGAGTGTTCTGCAGATATGTCCCCAGATGGGAACAAACCTGAAGCATAAGCCACTCTGATTTGTCCCTCAATGTTTTTGTACCTGTATTAATTGCATGGTCTTTGGGTTATTCAGACTTAGCAAATTGACTTCATCCTTCTAATGTGCTTGTGTTTTTCTTCTATACAAAAAATAACAGCATTTTCTAGGTTTGAACACCAAATTAAGTGCATTTTCAAGACTTCCCCAAATTTACTTTCAGAAACAGAAACGAACATTTCCTTAAAAAAAATAATAAGAGGGGAGGAGAAAGAAAACCATCCCTGAGCTGACAGAATGCAGCAGTAGGAGGCAAGCATTCAGCTGGCAGTTACTTACTTCCTGGCATGCAATTTTAATTAAGGAGTCAGCATGTCTGCTACACAAGCCCACAGGAGGCAGTAACTAAAAATGACTGGGAAAACGTCCATGGGTAAAAAGGTAGGAGAATAAAATAACGACACTGTATTATGGAAAGCTAATTGAGTATGTTCATCCCTACTTTTTCCTAGATAAGACCTATTAAGAAAGGAAAAGCAAGCACAAATTGCTGTATCACAGTATGCATAATAATGCCTATTTTGCAGTGTTTAATCAGAGATTCGCTATTGATCTAAGATAAATCAAAGACGAAATATTTTTTTCTGTTCAGAAGTTGTGTTCTGAGAAACCAATTCGTATTTTTAAACTGAGCCAGAAATCTTTCTTTCCCTAGACCATAGTTGTAATGATTACCTAGCTAAGTAAGTCAGCAACTAGATTGCTTTAAATCACTTTATAAATATCTTTTTCCCCTGGTATGGTGATCTTTTCTTTTTCTCACAGAGCCAATCATTAGGACACAGAGGCTGATTCATATCCTGTACTTTCAACAACCATTATTAATCATCTTTCCAAAGGAGTTCTGTGAAATCCTGCATTGAAATTTCATTGTTGGCTCCTACATTCTCCACTAGTAAATATTCAAATGGAATGCTAAGGAATAATAAGGAGGAAGCTCATGCATCTGCCTTGTTTTATATCTGTACAGACCAAGCTGAAAGAGCTGGGATTAAAAATAAATTGTGAAGGAAAAACAAATCAGTATGGTATGACTTAAAATTAGAATTATGTGTTCTGCAGAGAAAAGAACTGGTCAGCTAATCTCAGTCTTTCTGTCTTTCTGTCACTTGCACTTATTAAGAGCTCTTCAGTGAGCAGGCTTATAGTTTATGCTTATGGCTAAATAAATTCCTGGGAGAGTATTACAGAATACAATGAAGTCAGATGACAGAATCAAAAAAGATTTCAAACATTTATTTTTTATTTTATATAAATGTCATTTGATGACTTTGTAATCATAGAATGGTTTGAATTTGAAGGCAAATTAAAGGTCATGTAGTTCCAAACCCCCTGCCATGGGCAGGGATGACACCCACTAGATAAGGTTGCCCTGGTCCCCATCCAAACTGGTTTTGAACGCTTCCAGGGAGGGGACATGCACAACTTCTCCTGGCAGCCTGGTGTAGTACCTCATCACCCTCACAGTGAACAATTTCTTCCTTATGTTCAATCTAAATCTACCTCTTTCAGGATAAAACTGTTGCCCTTTGTCCTGTCACTACAGATCTTGGTAAAAAGTTTCTCTCCATCTTTCTCATACACCCACCTTCTATATGGAAATGCCACAACTTCTCAAATACAATGGATAGTAGCTAAGCCACCTTTTCCCTCAGAACTCATGAATGCATCTCATCAGGTCTCATTGACTTGCATGCCTTCAGATTCCTTAAATGGTGCCAGATCTGATCGTATATAGTGGAAGGTTCTTCATTTTTCCAGTCCCTGCTTTTACCTTCTGTGGCTTGAGCAGCATGGCTGGAGAATTTGCCAGTGAAGACTGAAGCAAAGACTTTGAATAATTTACCCTTTTCTGTATCCCAGGTAACCCAGTTTCCCATTTCCTTCTGGACAGGACCTGTATTTTCTCTAGTCTTCCTTTAATCACAATGTGCCTATAGAAGTTTTTCTTGTTGCCATTGTCATCCATGATCTGTTTCAATGCTGTCAGGGCTTTAACTTAATCTGCCTGCTTGGACAGTCTCCCTTTATTTTTCCCAGGCTGTCACAGTGCAAGCTGGCTTGTACTGGGCAGTTAATCTGACCCCATATGGGAGAAGCAGCCTGGCTTAAAAGGCAGGTCCCCAAAGAACAGAGATAGGACAGAATTGGAGACAGACAAGGATTTAATCCAGAGAATTCCAGCCCTGGCTGCAGAGAGCTATTGGTCAGAGGGCTGGGCAGCCTCATCTGTGAACCAATCACAGGCGTTTACCCGGGAACATTGAAAGGGGTATATAAAGTGAGGTTGGAAGTGAATAAAGGCTTTTGTCACATGGATTACAGAGTGTAGGATCTTCTGTCTCAGACACTGCGCTGTTGCACTCAACATTTGCTGAGTCCTGACGTGATCCGACACAGCCATACTGCCGCGAGCAGGGGAGACAGGGCCATTCTAGAGACGGGAAAGACACCTCAGAGGCGGGAAAAGTGCTGGCCAAAAGCCAGGGCCGTCCTAGAGATGGGTGCTGCCCCAAAGGCAGGGAAGTGCTGGCCAGAGTCAGGAAAACATCCGAGAGATGAAAAAGATGCCCAAAAAGAGAGGTGGGGAGAACTGACCAGAGCCAGGAACGTCCTGGAGATGGAAAACTTCAGCCCAAAAGCTACAAGAAAATAATGGGAAGCATCTTTTCTACAAACACGCACCCAGTGATTCAGGTATGGATAGAGTTTTTGGAGGGATGGGAAATTGAATATGAAGAAAAATCACTCTTTGATTTAATACTATGGACAAAAGAAAAGAGGCTAGAGCCGACTGCAGAAACTATATTAGATATAGACTATTGGACTAAAATTGGAGAAGAAATACTAAATGCTGCCTTAAAAAATGATAAAAATGCAATTAAAGCTTTAAAAACTTGGAAAACTATCTTAAAGTTGATAAAAGAGATAAAAGCTGATTAATCTAGTGACAGCAAGGAAGAAAAAGTACTTATTCCATGCAGAGAGACTTTACTGGCCGGCAATTCCTTTGCCTGCTCAGAGACCTTAAATCCACCCCAAACTCCTGTGGGAGAAGTCCAGGAACAATCCCAAGATGGCGGCGACCTCGTGGCCGGGGCAGAGGTCCGGGAACAATCCCAAGATGGCGGCGACCACGTGGTCACGGACGCGAGAAGACAAACTCAGTCTGGCTCGTGGGGTGCATCTCCACCCCTAGCCCAGCCCTGGTGGGATGTGCCTCCTGCTCTGACCACGTCTTGATTGGAGGTTCCACCTCCTTCAACCCAGCCTTGGTGGGAGGTTCCCATGGTCTTGGTCCAACCTCAG